CCTGGATAATGGGATGAGTTTTAAGACTGTCTTAGATAACAAGATTCAACATAAGTCATACCTTTAGAAAATATAATGTAGCTTTGAAACAGGCATTTTACTAGAAGTTTTCAGGACCCTCCTGGATAATGGGATCTAGCTTTCAAATTCTTATAAATATTTGGTAGTATGATTCAATTAACACTCACGGATATGCCCGGCTACCAAACTAGGGCAGAAAATTTTCTTTTGTTTTATCTATTTTGTGGAAATCAGGTGCCCATCTGAAGAACAAGGAAGGACAGCACTAGTTTCAAAGAATAGAAAGTAGTTCATACCCAAGCAATCAGGCACCCGCCTGGAGAAACAAGGGAGCACAAGTCAAAGAAAAGTAGTTTCAAGAAAAAGACAGTTCAAGTCAAGCAATCAGGCGCACATCTGGAGAGCAAAGGAATACAGTTCAAGTTTTGGCAATCAGACGCCCACCTGGAGAGCAAGGGAACACAATTCATGTTTTGGCAATCAGGCGCCCACTTGGAGAGCAAGGGAATACAGTTCAAGTATTGGTAATCAGGAGCCCACCTGAAGAACGAAGGGAAGCAGCAAGCCAAGTGTTGGTAATCAGGAGCCCACCTGAAGAACGAAGGGAAACAGCAAGGTTCAAAGGAGTTCAGCAATCAGGAACCCACCTGAAAAACGAAGGGAAGCAGTTCAAGTTTCGAGAAAAAGCAGCGCAAGTGTTGGTAATCAGGAGCCCACCTGAAGAACGTAGGGAAGCAGCAAGGTTCAAAGGAAGACAACAATCAGGAGCCCACTTGAAGAACAAAGGGAAAGCATCTCAGAATGCAATTCAAGTCAGCAACAAAGGAATCTCACTCAGAGAGTACAAGTCAGCAGGGCAGCAGAAACTACAAGTTCAAGTTTGAAGATATAGATAGGATTCTTGTAATTCGTATATCATAGTTTAGTCCGGCTTCTTTTATTTTGTCACGGTGTAATAAGGAATTCAGTAAGCAGAAACAGCAGCAATAGCAGCAAAATCACAGCTCTTCGGTAGTACCAGCTACCAAAACTTCTTGAACTACACGCGACCTGATTCCCCTATGACCCGGGATATGTAGGTTGTCCAAAACCAAGACTCGGTTGCACCCTTTCTCTTTTATCTTATCCTTATTTCTTCCCTTTTGAATAAAAATATGTTTAAAAATTAGTCACATGGCTCACTTTATCTTTGCTTGAAAACTCTTCATGTTTCCAAACAAAGAGGGGCAACTGTGAGCACCTAATTTTTGACAATATTTAATTATTTTATCACTTCTTCTATGTAAATATTTCAGGGATTTTAACATATAATTTTTAGCTTTGTTACACTTTTTATTATAGGGTAAAAATACAAAATTTAAAAGGTGAATTATTACTATTAATATTATTTTATTTTTATTTTTATTTTAAAATAAAAAAAAATTCGAAAAATATTAATTTTTTTTTTAATTTTCAGGAGTGATTTCAAAATAAGAAAAAGAGAAGTATTGAATAGCTGGAATTCTCTTTTAAAAAGTAAAAGAAAGTAGAAAATTAAAAAAAATAAAAGTAAAATTATGTGAAAATTTTAAAAAAAATAAAAAGTAAAAGAAAGTTGGAATTAAAAAATAAATATTAAAGTATCTGAAAATTAAAAAAAATTAAAGTAAAAGAAAGTATCATTTTTAAAAGAAAAGCAAAAGAAAGTGGATTGTTTTTTTAAGAAAAGTTAAATAAGTGGAATTCTCTTTTAAAAAGTAAAAAAAAATGGCATTTTAAATAAGATAAAAGTAATTAAAGTTGGAATTTAAAAAATAAAAGTAAAGAAAGGTGGGATTTCTTTTTATAAAAAAATAAAAGTAATTTGTAAGTGGTCTTTTAATTAAAAATAATAATATAATAAAAATATTTTTTTTAAAAAAATCTGAAAAATCTCGAACATTTTGCTATGAATAGAAGAAAAAATTTGAGAAGAAGAAAGAAGAAAAGAAAAGAAGGGGAGGAGAGAAATTTAGGTTGAAAATTTTCATTAAATTTTTCTTTCAACATTTTGGGTCTTGAATCTTGGGTTTGAAGAAGAGTTGATAGAGATTTTGTTGTTACTGCTGTATTGACTCTACAACTTTCAGATTTCATTCATTTGAATTAACTCTCTTGTAGGTATGTAATTCAAGCTCTTGAGTTAAAAAATGTTGGAGCATCTTTATTGAAGCAGAAGCAAATTGATTTGGTTCTTTTGATAAAGTTTCTTTCGTATTGGATCTGTTCGCATGAATGATGTTTCTTTGATTGAGTGAATTGAGATTTGCAAATGTTAACGTTATTTTAGTATGTTCATGACTCTGTCTCGTTTTTGTTTTTGTTTTTATTTATTTATTTTATTTTTCTTGTCTCATGACTTGTAACCAGCATGTATTGTTTTGTTTACATTTAGATTTCAAGCCCATGTAGCACCATGTTCATATTTTGAAATTTAAAGAAGTATGTGAAGTTGAACAATTTGTCAACATTAAGATGTAAAAAAAATAGATTGCGTTAGTGGAAGGATCTTATCTTCAATTTATGTTATTGGCTGCATATTTTCTCAAATTAACCATGTGAAGACTCAACTTCCTCTGCTTCAAAATGGTACTGTAGAAGTTATAGTGGTGATACTACAACTTTCTCTTTAGCATAGTGTTAAATAAATTAATTACTTTAAGTGTTCTTTGTTATAATCAAGTTTAAAATGCATTTTTGTATGTCCATGTTTGTTTTGTTCCTTCTGGTTCATCCGAATAGTTCTCAGCATGGTTTCTTTTTTTTTTTGTGCTCATATGGTCATTTAAGATTCATTATTTTGTTATAAAATTTTGTTAGTTTCTTTCTAGAATTTGAAAACGAAAGTCGGTCTTTTGAAGATGATATGGAGATGAACCCAAAGCTGGCACCTGTCTTTTGTTATTTTCACATAAATGCCAACTCCACCTTTCTGAATTGTAGTATGCTATAACAAAAGGCTCCAGTGATATACATGTAGCTAACCCATTTCTTTAGGCCTTTTGTACTTATCAATTTATACCACTCCATCCACAATAAACTCTCAAAACTCATGGCCCTCATTTAATTAATTTTAAATCCTTAGAATTCGAGGCATGCCATTTAGCGAATTTTCTATGGCCCTCGCAAAGTTAAAAAATGCGTAGTTGCTTTAGGCGCGTAATTTAAAATTACCTTCCTAAACTCGGGTGTGCATTTCATGTGACCCAAATCCAAATCTTGACAATGTTAAATAAAATGTGTCTCGGACTGCGGGTGCATTTCATGTGGCGTTGTCCAAAGACGTGTTTTAGATGACGTTGAAATCTTCCTTGAAATAATTAAAAGCGGTTTAAAGTTAAAAAATGCACATAGGTTCAAAAGTGTTTTAAAATTAGATAATTAGGCCAATAATAATAGTTGAGCGACCGTGCTAGAACCACGGAACTCGAGAATGCCTAACACCTTCTCACGGGTTAACAAAATTCCTTACTCGGACTTCTGTGTTCGCGGACTGTAAAACAGAGTCAATCTTTTTCTCGATTCGGGATTTGAACCGATGACTTGGGACACCATAAAATTATCCCAAGTGGCGACTCTGAATTTGATAAATAAATAATCTTGTTTCGATTGTCACTTAAATTGGAAAAAACTCCTTTATACCCTTTACGGGGTGTAGGAAAAAGGAGGTGTGACAATCCTACATTCGAGAATACACTGATCCAACCCTCGAATCACGAAGAACAATTAAGAGGAAGAATCAAGGGAACAAACAGAATTGTACTCGCATCATTTTATCAATAAAATTATGTTTCTGCATACTCATATTGTGGTTGCAATTTATTTTTATATCACATATAATTTGTTGCAAACAAATTGGCACGTCTAATGAGACTAGTTCTGCCTTTCATCTCTTCCTCCTACAAATCAACCAAAATTATCTGGTCAAGTACTTCAAGTTTCGGCAAACCTACACCTCCGACAAATCTTGAAGTAGGGGCATTTGTAGATACCGAAATTTTAACAGATCAAGTTAAATCCTAAATTCAAGACACTACTGCAAGATGACTCTTGAAATTGTAGGAGTCTATTAGAGTTGCTTGGATGCTACTCTACCAAAACCATACCTTGGAGACTACTATATCTCAGCCCTAGGTCACTCCTATAAAAAGAGTTATGTATTCTCCTAAAAATGGATCTCAAAAATGGAGATCATCAATATCCCATAAACTTACGGGATACTCATAAAGAGATCAATATGTGGCCGCGTAATTCTTGATAATCAAATATTTCAAGAAGGGCCACAACATACTTTCATGGATATCAGATACATCCAAGGAGGTATGCATCATTCTACGTTTGAGAAACAAGCTACTCCAGCCCTCGAATCATGGAGATAATAAGGAGAGAAGAATCAAGGGAACAAACAGAATTGTACCCACATTGTTTATCAATAAAATTATGTTTCTTCATATTCATATTGTGATTGCAGTTTATTTTTCGTATCACGAAAAATTTGTTGCAAACAAGAGCTACATGGTACCTAGGCAGGTGGGAGATAGTCGGATAGAATTCGATGTGCTCACAAGCTGGCCAAGACATCTCTATTATATAAACAAAAAATAAATAATGAAAAGACAAGAAAAATTTGTTACCTTAAGATACTTTTAATGGAAGCATATGGTTATCAATCAATAAAGAAAAGTAAGAAAAAAAATAAGTTTTTCTGGCCTAAAAGTGTTTTTTTTATTTTTTATTTTTTTCAAAATTATTTTTTAAAAAAATTGAGGTGTTTGACCAAGTTTTTAGAGGGAAAAAGTGTTTTTGAGGGAAAGCTGAAGCAATTTTTGAGAAGCAAACTCTCTAAAAACACTTTTCTAAAAAATATTTTTAAGAAAAATACATTTAAAACTAATTTTTAAAAATTTGACCAAATAGTAATTACTTGGCCAAACAGAATATTACTTGTTATCTCATCATACGTCTGTCTCAAGAAAGCGACACCACTAATAGAAAAACTCACCAACATAGCATCTTCCCAGTTTGCCATTTCCACAGAAGACCAATACTCAACAGCCGCAAACCAAAAAAAAAAAACCGAACTTTACCAATTACTGCTAGTCTGCTGTGCTCCAACAGCTCACGTCTCCCTTCATATGCCAATTATAACAATAATTCCGTCTCGATCCCAAACTAACTGGGATAGCAAATTTCACATGTGAATTTTCATATGAATTCAATTCTTAAGAGCTTATCTTTACTTTCAGCTCTCCATGTGTAAATCCAAGAAGAAATTAAGCAAAGAAGTGATGGAACCACAGCAGAAACCAAGAAGATCTTCCTCTTCATCAACCAAAAAGTTATCATCTTTCACTGATCAATCATTATCATCTACGAGCCAGAATTTAATATCCCCAAATGGGTCTACAACAAGTTTCATCATCAACAATTTCAACAACAATAAAAACTCTCAATCATGGGCTTCTTCATCAAAATCAAGTCACCATTCTTTATCAAGTCTTAAGGGAGCATTATTATTCCCAGAACAACCTCATATATACAACTTCTCAGAAATTCGTTCCGCTACCCAGAACTTTCTAAAAGATCCACTTTCGTCCTCTTCTACTTCGACTTCGTGGTGCTGCCTCCTCCGTGATCAAAACGTCGTCGTAATACAGCGAAAATTCCGCCGGAAAATGGATACCGATGAGCTTATTGAACACGTGGCGATGATTTGTAGAAGCCATCATTCTAGCTTAATCCCGCTTAAAGGAGCTTCGGTATCTGGTAATTATATTTATTTGGTATATGAATATACTCAAGGAGTTAATTTATCAGAAGCTTTACGAAATCGTAGAAACCCTAATTTTACAGTTCTTTCGAATTGGATATCGAGGATTCAAATTGCTTCTGATATTGCTCATGGTTTAGATTACATCCATCATTCTACTGGTTTAGGTTTAGGGTTTGTGCACAATCACATTAAAAGCACGAGTATTATAATAACTGAGCCCTCGTTGCATGCGAAAATCTGCCATTTTGGGACGGCGGAGCTTTGCGGGGAGACACGGAATGAAATTAAGGATCCGAGTAGTGAAATCGGGCCGAAGAAGGGGACCGAATTGAAGAAATGTGGAAGTAAGGGTTTGAAATTTGAGGGGACGAGAGGGTATATGGCGCCGGAGTTTCAGTGGACAGGGATGGCGACGGTGAAGAGTGACGTGTACGCTTTTGGTGTGGTGGTTTTGGAGTTGATTTCGGGGAAAGAGGCGGTGAAATACGAGGTTGATGAGGAGAGCGGTGGGTATACTAGGATTTCGGTGATCGAAACGGCGGCGAAAGCGGTGGATAACGGCGGTACAGGCTTGAGGGGGTGGGTTGATAGGCGGTTGAAGGATTCGTACCCGGTGGATGTGGCGGAGAAATTGGTGCATCTCGGGTTGGATTGTGTGGAGACTAACCCGAATAACAGACCGGATATGGGTCGGGTTACGGGTCGAATTTCGCAGATGTATTTGGAGTCCAAGACTTGGGCTGAGAAGTTTGCTCCGCTTACTGACTTTACTGTTTCTTTAGGACCTCGTTGAATAATTTTGCTTTTTTACTATTTTTTATTCTTCTCTTTTTCATTTTTTAGTTGAAAATTTTGGTATTTTATACATTGGCTTTACCTCGAAATGTAAATGGAACATAGAATTTTTTTTAAAATGGTACTCTAGTTTATATTGTTAACAAGTTTATCTTGTTTTCTCCTTTTTACTTTTAAGACAAATTAAAGGTTCATGGTCTGCCATTTCTGGCTAAGGAAAAGAACAAATACAGAAATGAAGGCATCTTCGTGCCTATAAAATTATAACGTAGAAAGAAAAGAATACAAAGACATGTTGGCACAACTAATGTGATTTTCTCGTTACAATAAATTCATTGCTTTATGAGATCACATACTCCACAAATTCAGTGTGAGTCTATCTAAAGGCTGCATTGTATCCGTACATGTCAAAAAGCCTATCATCTGAAATCATATGTCCACCCTCTCTCCCTTGAAAACTCTCCATTTGTGAAACCCAAGGACCTGGATTCGAAGCGTTAGAGCTAGAGGCTTCTTGGTTCACGTTTTGTGAGTTGTTATTCTGGTCTGTGTTCCCGGCTGCCCGCTTGTTGGAAGAGTTGGTTGTTGTCAGAGATATAGATGCTGACTGTTGCTGCATTTGCTGCTGATTCTTCATTGGCGACTTGGGCCGAAGAGCCTCTATTTCAGGTGTTGTAGTAACAAGATGTGGGGCGTCCGGTGGTGGATTCCTTCCTCCCCCTCCCTGCCAGACTTTTCCATCCCTATCGGCAAAATTTCGCACATAGGCCTGAAGTTTTCCAAAGTCCTCAGTCAGCATGTTAAGACACAAAACATGACCAAGGTAGCATAATACATGCAAAGTAAATTATTCAAGTGTACAGATAAGCCAAGCTTTTGATGCTTAAACATGAGTAGGAATCAGGTTAAAATTACCATCTTTCTTTCCTAATAAAGACTATGTACTGAAGTATATCATTGAGAGAACACAAAGGAAAACTAATAGGGCAGAACAATTAAGCACGACTGATGCATGCTGAGAAAAGCGGGAACAGATCTTATAACGAAATGCATACTATTTCTGTCTTCTCCACCCCCCACCCCCACCCCCAAGAAAACCCCACAAATCTGAGAGAGCATTTTTTGGGGGGTTGGGGGTGGGAAGACAGCAATGATATATTTGCAATGTCTCGTACTCAGAAACAAAATCAACAAACTAAAGGAACGGTAGCAGCTAACAGTTTACCTCTGCACTGAAGTTTGATGAAGATAACCCTTTACCAACAGTCAACCAGCCAGATCGAATATTATGGTCTTCGCCAAAGAGCTCAAGCCTTCTCCGGCCAAGTGCAAAATGCTCAATTATACGGTACATATCTTCCGGCTTTGCACTTGAACCTGCGCAAAGTGACCAATAGCACTTCAAAATGAGCTCAGCCACTGTGCACACCCACCAGTGCAGAGATACAATGCAGCTTATTATGTTAACATTTCATTCATTGCAGGACAGATTTAAAAATTAGCAGAGAGAATACAAGATGATAAAAGATTACATGCATTTCATGCATCACAGGATAGTGTTACAACTTCTATACTTTCTCCCGCAGCCAGCAACAGCTGCTACATAACTTGGGAATAGCAGACCAATCAATCTAGGACTACCATCACTTGCACTAAGAGAGAAAAAGCTGAAGGTTTTGTTTGGAACAGGTTCATACAGAATTCTGGTAGAAGTCCAGGTTTCCACTGAAAGGCATATCCAACACCACAACTAGCCCGAAAGTATACAGAAAGCCAAAAAAAAAGAATAAAAAGAGCAATTCATAAGACAGAGTCTGCACTCATCTGTCTCTTCTCGTTTTATGAGTAAACCAAATGAGAAGAAAAACACTAACAGGAAAAGGAAAAAGCGTCATTTGAAGGTAGGGAGAATCCATCAACCCCAAAAGGGACAATCTCTCCCTTATAATGAGACTGAAAAAACTTCCATTTTGGTACGCAAACTAGTGTATTCACAACTTAAAATAAATCTTACTGTTAAATACAAACAACTATAAATGTGTGTTTGTGTGTATCACTTGAGAGAAATCCACATTTTCGAATTGGTGCTGTTACGTCAACCTCAGCAGTCTCTGCCAGTATCTTACTTACATAGGAAAAACAAACAACTGGACAGTGGACAAACAGATGCAACATAATCAGTTTCTACAACCATATATTTCTTGACTAACATTTCTAATCTGCACAAAGTGAAGATAAAAACCCATTCACAGAGTTGTCTGGAATGAGAAAGAATCTACCATAAGGAGGTTCTTCGGCAATAATCACATCTGTGTCAATATTTGCATGAATTATATGGCCATCCGTACTACGGCGAACAGTTCCTCTTATACCCAAAAGGCAGTGCTCCTATATCATGACAGTGAGTAGCAGAACATAAGTTATATATGATGGAAAAATAAACACATGTGGAAAATGAGAAGACAGAAGTTAAGAACCTTTGAACGCTGAAATAAAGTATGGGAATCATGCCGTAGTCCTGGAGTTGCATTGGTTTTATTTGTTTTCACCCAACATATGTCCTCACACCTGCGGAATCCCCACTGCACAACACAGAGAACAACGTATCAAAAAACCACAATGACCTATTATTGAAAACTGCAATCAACAAATGCCTCTGTTTGTAATTGTCCTTATCTGGGTGTGAGAGACGAAGGGCAGCAGCAGAAGGAAGGTATCAAACGCAGCAATCGGCAGATTCAATGCCATAGAGTGTTTCTCAAATTGTTTAAACTACATACCTTTTTCAGACATTGACGCCCTTGCTCAAGCCCCACACCATCACCAACCCAAAGGAAAACAAATGATGGAGTGTCAGCAATTGCCTGAGAACAGACAGTTCGCACCATATTTAGGCTCGGAAAGGAGAAGCTGACAGGACAGAGTGAAGAACCCACGACTATGCAGCCACTTAAAAACCAATAAAGGTATAAATGTATAAGTCAAAACAAATGTTGCTTATAAAAAATAATTTGCACCTGAGGTTCTCCACATCCTACTCTAAAGCAACAGTAAAGGTATTAGTAAATAACCAAGTTGACATGCAAAAGTCATACCTCAATTTTGAGATTCATTATTTCCTCAAATGTCCAGTACGCCATATGGTCAGTGACACCAGGAGCTCGATGAACATATTCCTCCCATGGGGGGTCTATTAGAATGACATCAAATTTGGTCCCAAAAAACTCCGGGGAGAGCTCCTGCTCAAGCAGATCACATTTGTAATACATGGGAGGCGAAGCAGATTTGACAACAATCTCATCCTTCCTTTGAATAAGTTCTCGAAGTTTGGGATAGTCCTCAACAACACTGGTAAGCTCTAGTTCCCTGATGAAATTTTGAGGCCTCGTGCCAGTATCTACAAAATTTTGGGAGTAATCATTCTGCTCACCCCTAGAAGGAGCTTTGCCAGGTGGTGCATTAGTTCGAGGAGGAACCCAACCTCCATTAGCTTCATCTTGAGCCTGTCCCCGACCTGCTGGTATTAGGACACTAAAATTTGAGCCAGACATGTTAGGTGGTGCCCCTCTTCCAGGGCCTGGTTGATTAAAAAACATAGCATGATTTGGCAGATTCCCCAAATTAGGGGGAAATCCAGTTCCAGGCAGAACAGGTGGGAGTCCAGGTGGAACACCTAGCATATTCATCTCAACAGCTCGGGCTCCAGGCCAAAGCACAGGAGGTGAAAATGGAGGAATGAAAACACCAGGGGACATAGGAGGGCCTGGAGCAGGTGACATGTTAGGAGCTAAAGATTGCACAGATCCAGGCGATGGCATTCCAAGTGGTCCAAAAGGTGATCCCATCATTGGCATTGGAGGTCCGAACTGGTGGCCATCCCTTCCTGTAGGCCTCCCTCTTCCTCCTCTCCCAACCCTACTTCCTTTAGAACCTATTGGAACAGCTCTATTGAACGAAGTTGGTTCTTGGTTCCCATATGGAGGTTCTGAACCACTATTGGAAGTTTGGCCCCATGCATCTCCTTTCTGGGCCCTTGATTCAGTCTCATCCCTATATGAACCATCACCTGATGTATCCTTTAAATCTTGGCCAGATTGGGCTAGCCAAGTCATGTTTCTTCCCCTGCCATCCCTGGGAAAGGCACAGTTCTCATCATCTGGAGGCAATCTTGCATCAGAATTCTGGTTAAACTTTGTTGTTCTTGCTACGGAAGATATGGCCTCCTCCCTACCATAGTCAAATGGCCTGGTTTGGATCTCTATGACATCATAATTCTCATTTGAAATTCCATATTTTGATGAAGTTTTCAAAGCTTCTGTCCTATTTCCATCTTTTCTACCACCAGAACGAGGCCTTTCATTGTCAATCCAACCACGTCTGGGCATTTCCCACTCTCTGCCATGTTCATAAGGTGTTTCTTCTTTTATTTCCTTGTCAACAAAGTTCCCTTGCCTTCTTTTCCACCCATCTTTAGAACCATCCCGAACTCTGTTTCTATCACTCCAGCCATCATCCCTTCCTTTTGATTTATCATCTCTTACACCATTTTTTTCTTGTTCTTTCCTTCTGAAAGTATCTCTTTTTTCATATTCCATCTCAACGTTTTCTGAGTCGTAATGATGCCTTCCACTCCTCTCAGGTGTCCTGGACCTATCAGAGTAGTCTATCTCTCTCCTATTTCTCTCTCTCACCCCTAAGCTGACATCATCACCTGCTACCACAGACCTTTCAAGGCTGTCAGCCACGTCGTGACTTGTGGCACTTTTTAGCTGTCTAAGCTCCTCAAATCTCTCCACACCCAATTTATCTTCCCGTATAGGAACATTTCCTCCATTGTCTTCCTCCGTAGCATACAATCTGCCTCTCTTACTCCTATCGCAGTCAATCTTTCTCTCGTCACTGTCTGGGTATTTATCATTTTTGTCTCCAATTGGATCTTTAAGGCTGTCCAACAGCACATGACCCTTTTCTCTGGCGCTTTCCTTTCTTTCCAAACGTCGAGAATCCCTTTCCAGCGCATTTTCAGAGTCCCCACCATGTAGCTTTTCATTTTTACCTTTATTTCTTGTCTGGGAACCATCACCATCAGAAAACCTTGAAGTTGATTTCCTTCTGACACTTTCATTAGATAGGATTTCTCCTCTAACCCCTGTTTTGTCTCCATTTTCATACTTGCCCCCAAGTTCTCCATCCTGATACCAATTGCTCAACGTCTCCAATGTATTCTCCCCCTGCTTCTTCTTCATCTTAGAACGGGAGTCCTTTTCGGCCTCATAGTCATCCTCATCAACATCAGCTTTGCTTGATCCACCTGATCTTTTCCGACTCTCATTTCTGTCCACAATACTTCTCCTTCTTCCATTACTATCTAAACCTTCAGCTTCTTCGCTGTTCCCAGACCTTGACTTACTTGACCTGTATTTTCTCTTATCATCCCCTTCCCAGTCGTCATCAAATTTTAAGTCTTGGTCCTCCTGTTTCAGATAACTCCTAAGTCGTTCAGGGGAAGTCATCAAGAGAGAAAAACCTCACTTGATTATTCTCAGAACTTCATTGAGTGAATGCAATATGAGACAGCATCCTGAGAGATGAAGAGAAATGGAGAAAATGATTAATGAGCTTACCTTTTAGTGAATCTAAATTCAAGAAAGGACTCATGATATAAGAGACAGACAATATCCAGTAATCATAAGAGGATAATAAGGTACCATGGGAGAGAGGAATACGAAGAATAAATATGCATATTAAAGAGGAGCCTCATTCCAATATTGACAATTTAATGATGCTGGTGATAGGAAATAGATGCAGAAGGAAGGAATGGCTTGAGGCGTGGGACGATCACTGTCTCAAAAGAGCAATTGTCTTTCTACTGGGTTAGCAGACAATGCTCCTTTGTGATACAAATAACAGCTAGTGAATATTTTCAACCTTCCTCTGAGTGGAACCGGCATTGTGTAGCTCACACATGTGAGTTCACAAACCATAAAATCCAAACATTAATGTTCAAAGTTCAAACACCATATTTCGTAAATGAAGAGAGCACAAAATAGATAGATAACAGCCACTTTATTTGATTTTGATCTTACAGATACTTTCAAAATGAACTCAAACCAACAGAAAATTGTCAGACTGGAAATAAATCACAATTTCGTGTGATATTACGCTGAAGAATTAGCAATCAATATCTAATCACAGTGAAATCAATCAGTTACAAAATCAGGCACCCCAAACTAAAAGTGCATATATTTCCGAAACTCATGTGCTCTTCATATGAAGACTTAATGACTCAAACAAGCGAAAACATAAGCATAATATACAGAATTCGAAAAAACTCAGTGATTATCGAACAAAAGTTGAATGAGAGAAAAGCGTAAACTTACAAACTGGAAGCAAAATGAGCGTTCTAAACCGGAAGAAGTGGAGTACTTTTTTTATACCGGCGGACTTGGCGGCGAGCGACGGCGGTGCCCTCCGGTGACCAATACACGGCGTCGTCGTAGAAGCGTCAAAGTTATGAGAAGAGGCAAAGGGAAGAGAAGAGAGGAAGCAAATCGGGTTAGAAGTGTTTGGATCCGAACCTAGGTTCGATGAAGGGTATAACTGGAATATTAGGAAGTAAATAGGGGCAGTTTCGGCGATTCAACTCATAGAACATGATGTTGTACGTTATGCTGCTGCTATTTTACAGGTTAATGTGAGGAAAAAGGTGAAAGGAAAAGACTTTTCAGGAGAACTACCCTATTTTAATATTATATAGTTTCAAAAACTTTCATAAATATTAATATTAAACAATGTGTTTAAATTTTTTATTTAATAAAAAGTTAAATAAAATAGTATAGGTTTCTGAAAATCGTGATGTTGATATCTATTTAGCTAGCTCAATAAAAGAAAAAATCATGCCCACATAAGTCTTGATATGGCTGTGAATATCTTATGAATTTGTTGTTATTTTTGCCACAAAAAAAAAAGTAACACAAACATGCTTTAATCAAGTCTTCAAAGATTTGTCAAAATAATAAAATTTAAAAAAATTGAATATTTCGGTCTATGGAGATTTGCGAATGAAGAGGTTGACCCTTTAGCTTCTGGAAAAGATTAGCAAGTGACATTATAATGTCTGAATAACTAATGTTGAATTAATATTTATAACAAATAATTTAATATATTAAAAATATTATAGGGAATTGCCATTGGTCAGAATGAATGCAGAAAAAAAAAATAACTAATGGCATCTCATATAGAATATAAACTTATTGCTATAAGTATGCATCTATATATATATATTATAAAAGAGGGCAATAGAAAAGTGAGGTGGCATCTCTCTTTGTCCAAGTAACCCACTTATCTTTTTTCTCCTTTTTTTGATTTTTCTCTCATTTTTCCATTTTATTAAATTTAATGTTTATGTTTAGAAAAGTCACAACTTTCTGTTCAACTCAATGTAGCTGTTCCAATCCATTCAATGCAATTCAACCGTTGCAATTAATTAGGAATGTGAAAATTAATTTTCTAATTTTAGGAGGCATACATTTAACTCTCTTCATTATGGTGATGACTTTTCAATTACGTAACCACCAAATATTTATTTTGCAGGCACTAAATTGCATTATTCCTTATCGAATAATATGAAAAGTAGCAACAGTAAAAATGTATAATTTTGTAGCAATGTTGTCCAGTTTGAGTCAATCTCATTTTGATCTCCAATGATCGACATGCCCCAACTATTTTACTTTCGTTCAGTGATCTAATCAAGTAGAACAATATATGTTAGGTGTTTTATGTTAAGGTGTTTTCGAGGTTCTGATGATTACGAACGGATAAATTCACATGGGAGGAGAAGATTTCGAACAAAAAGTCATGGCCTATTTCTGAAATTTTTCTTTCTTTTACCTTTTTCTTATATCTTTGATCCAATGAACTCAACATAAAAAATTATTTCATTTAATCTTATTTTGGCAGAAACTTCTTGTGCTTAAATTAATGCATCGAGTTTGAATAGTGAGACATATAGTTGGCTTCCTTATGCAAAGATTAATTTCAACAAAGGCTCATGCTCCAACAAAAAATTGCCGGACTTTTTACAATATATCAAGACCATCAAGTGTTAATCAAGGTACGATTACTTAAATTGCAATAATATTTTGCTATTATTTTTTAGCCCATTAATTTTGAGGTCACATAAATTACCAAATAATTTTAGGTGTTGGAGGATGAAAGAAGCATTTCAAGGAACTAACACGAGCTTGGAACTGTCGGGATTTCTCATGCTCCAAGGTAAGCTAATTTATCCAAATATAGGAAACTCAGAATTAAAACTTTTCAACATAACTACTTGGCACAATCGTATTATTAGTTTGTGCTTGCAATAGGGGAAATGGAAAGAAACGACATTTACAAAGTAGATGTAACATTGTAATAAAAATATTACATATAACAACGAAAGAAGCAGAAAGACATCAAAATCTTTCTAAAAGATGAAGCTTCAAGATATCAAAATTTGAGCTACTTAAGGCACGAAGAATTGAAGGAAAGAACAAAAGAATAATGAAAAAGATTATTAAAGAAAAAATAATACTACTTGATAGAAAAGAAATAAGAACCGGTAATGGACAGATAGAACAACTTGCGTTGCCATTTATTTTATTTTATTTTCTCTCTTTCTATCTGTAGTTTCTTAACTTTCTAATTTTCTTTTCTGATCTTTTTTTTTTCTACATTTCATGTTTCATTTATTTGGCTAAAAGAAAATTCTATTATTTAGAAAGTTTTACTATTTAATAAACAAAAGTTCAGATATATATAAACATGTATTTAATATATAATTTGACTAAAAGAATCGCACATGCACACAAAACATGTAATTAATGTGTGTCTCTTTGGGTGAAAAGTTTCCGTACGAACTCTTTTCCTTTTTTTAAAGAAAATTTGAATAAATAAGGTTAGTCTAAGCTTATATTTTAAGAGAAAATTGTGTTTGTGATTTTAACTATATATGAATTATTTTTATATACACGTGATAAATAATAATTTTTTTATTGTGACTGAAAATGTAGAAATATTATTTCTAAACTATGATGTCTTTATAATAGCGAAGCGCGATCAAATTTACTAGTTTAGAATATATTTGTTGTCTACTAATTCATCCTTATTGTTATAAATTTGTATGTTTCCAATTTGACACTTAATATTATACAATAATCGATTTTTTCATACATCCCCCACGCACCCATCCACCCACCCAATGTTAGAATCCTTACATATTTAAATATTACAAAATTTTAAATATTTAAAAATAATTAAATAAAAATTATGTCTAGTATGAAAGTAAGTATTCTATCCTTTGAAGATAAATTCCTATTGAACAAAATTATTACTATTAATTAACTTGGAATAATCTAACTGCGTACAGTTTGAATTATTAGAACTTTGGATCCAGTCTTGAGATTCTCCTTCTTGTTTGCTCTCATTACTTAACATTATCAAATAAGTTCTTATTTTCATCTTTTTATCTTTATTCTTCAATCTTTTAATTTGTTTTTGTCATGGTAATAAGTTATATATGAAGATGAACGATATTTAAAATTTCTTTAAAATACTTCTTGTTGCTAGTAAATACCATTATTGTTTTTGTATTTGGTTGATTGTATTAATTATTCAGTTGAATGTTCAGAACTCGAAAATTTAATAAAAAATAGTATCTTAAAAAAATTAACAATAATGGGTAATTTTTAAATATTGTAGATAAGAAATAGGCAATCTAACCAATGTTAATCTACAATAAATTATTTAATATATAGAAAAATAATTAGGAATAATTTATTGAAATGACTGAAAAATAAAATAAAAATAATATAGATGCACTATACATTGGATGCTCTCTAAAAAGGTAAAGTACTCCTTATTATTAGTTTGTACAATTACTTAATTTACCTTAGAATTCCAATGCACTAAACGTTAGTCAAGATATTTATATGAATAAATTGGTATTTGATTTGAAATCCCTAAATACTAGGAAACTTACTTTATTCAAATAAAGAAAGAGTTAATGGTCAAAATTTTAGCAATTAATTTTAAAGTTCCAAATTTAGAAAAATAATTAAATGATTACTTTGTCCAATATGAAATCTATCTTTAAAGGGATAAAAAAGGCGAACGACATTTTGCTAAGGGCCTTCGTGCTTTTAGTATAATATAGATATAGATTATAAGGGGCCATTTGCCCCTACAAAATTTTTCACTGTTTAAAAAAATATCCCTTTTTTAAAACCAACGTTTAGCTATGAAATTTTCAAATTCACTTGAAGATAATAACAACAACAACAACAACAAATCCAGTATAATCCTACAAGCGGGGTCTGAAAAGGGTAGTATGTCCACATACCTTACCCCTGGCTAGAGAGGTAGAGAGGTTGTTTCCAAAAACTTCATTGGAATGCGCCTAATTGATTGAGTAGGAATTCTATAAATCTAAGAAGTCAAAACGCAAGAATAGCTCCTGAACAATTTACAAAAAATGAACTTTAGATTGTGAAAGAGAAAGAGAGTAGTATTATTCCTTCTTCAATGTCCTTACAAGCGGAAGTATTCTTCTTTAAGTATCCCTCTCTAACACTGAGCTATTGTAACTACTTCTAACAAATTCTAACTACCAACTAATGATAATTGCTAAGATACCCCCTAACTTCTATTAATTCTCTTTTCGTCCTGTCTACATTATTATCACATAATATTCACTTGAAGATGAATTTCGAAAATTTTAAAAACTTTAAGGCTGGTTTTCAAAATTTTCACTTCAAATCACTCACAAAATTCAAAAATACCCCAAAATTGTATTCATGTCCAAATACAATTTTAACTTTCAAATATCATTTTCACTTGAAAAAAAATTCACTTTTTTCGGAATTTTACAATTCTTATGTCCAAACGCCCACTAAAAGATGGAGCGAAATAGGAAAATTCAAGTTATAAATTTATTTTTTTGGATTTTTCTTTAAAAATATTGAGTTCTTAAAAAAGGAAAAGAACAAAAACTTGATAACAAGATTGAAGACTACTTAAATGTATCACTAACGAAACTACTTAACTGTATCAATTAACGAGATTGAAGACTACTTAAGTTCACCATCAAAGTTTAAAGTTTAATTGTATCACTAAGGGGTCGTTTGGTTGGAATACGATTTATACCGGTGTAAGTTATGCCGGTATAAGTTATATTGGAATAAGTTATGAAGAGATTAGTTATGCTAGAATTGTTGTTTATTCATTGTTTGGTATGTTGTATTAAAAATGACAATTGCATAAATTCTAAGAAGAAGGTATAAGTTATACCGGTACTAATTACCCCACCTTCTTTAAGATATAAGTTATCCCAGTATTAAAATTAACACCAGGATAACTTATATCTGGTTTGTTAACCAAACAGAGTATTAAAGTAGTATTAAATTTTTATATCACACTTATACCTTCTTATACCTCATACCAAACGACCCTAAGAGTTCGACATAATAAGTGTGTCGTTAATTCGCATGTCCTTGATGACGAGATTGAAAATTACTTAAATGTAGATTGTACCATCAAACCTTATAGTCTAACGATATCACTAAAAGTTTTACATAATATACCCCCTTTCTATTACCTGTTATGTAATGGGAACTTTAAAAATATTAAATGCAAAATTACCTACAATGCTAATAATAATGAAAAAGTATCGACCGATTGAAAATTAATTTGATTTTTTTATTAAAAAAAGAGTCACAGCAAAGTTTATAAATTTAAGAAGCTAAATGAGTTTTGACTCTTTAAAGATCTAACCAAAAAGCATAAACTAATATTATGAATGAAATAAAATGTAATAAAATGTCCAGGTGGCACAAGTTAGCCCCGACACTACAATTATAAAAAAAAAAAAAAAAAAA